TCTTCTTAACAATTCTACTGTTTAAATAGAGTGAGCCGCAGAGAAGATATTTTTAGCTCCATCCAAACAAATGGCAAGAAAGGACACTAATAACAATCAAGGATTCTTCTTGCTAAAAACATAGCCATCAAGATCAAAGATTACTCGACCTTCGCCAAACAATGCAGCGCCCTTTTACTGGAGCCATCCATGGCTCATCTACTTTTAGAAATCTGGCATTACAAGCTGATAATTGATGATCATTAGCCAGAAGAGATAGATACACGCAGAAGGGTTATTTTGGGGTATTTTTAGGTGGGCTGCTGACACCAAGGAAACTTCCCATCACACCCAATCAACCCTGCATTGCTCTTGAAATTTGGACAGTCATGTTTTAGTTTGGCTTGCGTCGTCGGGCGATTAGTGGAAGAGAATGTTGCTTCGATGGCATGCGATGCGGTAGTACACCTTTGTCACCTGTTATGGGTGAGGGGGTGATCAGAGGGGCGTCGATTGTTCTACAAAAGATATTGTCACGACAGGAGTTGAGGAAGAATGAAGACCGTAGCTGGCTTTGACCTAATTCATGAAAATCCCTTAAGATGATATCCTATAAATATACCTTTGTTATATCTGGGACTGTGTTAGAACCAGGTAGAAAGTGTCATTTTCAGGCACCTGTTTGGCAAATTGGGTTCTTTTGTCAAGATTCATTCAGTCGATCGTTGTCTGTTCAGCAAAAGCTGGCTGAGCAATCTAAAATTGATATGACATGAATTAAAAGAACATTGAACTTCTCTCTGCTCTCAAAATCCATTGCCCTTCCCAAACTCTGTTTTTTGGGATATCAGACAATAAATTGTTTCCAGTAGTTTTGGTGATAAGAGGGAAGATCTACATGTATATTAATATTTTTATGCCTCCGCCACCGAAGGTGGTGCCGGAGGCATCATGTTTTCGGGTTGTCCGTCCGTACGTCCGTACGTCCGTACGTCCGTCTGTACGTCCGTACGTCCGTCTGTACGTCCGTACGTCCGTCCCGTTTGACCGTTATCACAATATCTCAAGAACCATTTAAGATTTAAACTTAAGACTCGGGAATAGTATTTATCACCATAGGAAGACGATCTGATTAGATTTTGGAGTATGTAGGTCAAAGGTCACAGGTCACAGAAGTCAACTTATGAAATTCCTTGTATTGAGTTTGTTAGCGCGATATCAGAAGAACCATTTGAGATTTAAACTTCAAACTTAAGGATAGTATGTATCACCATAGGAAGACGATCTGATTAGATTTTGGAGCACGTATGTCAAAGGTCAAGGGTCACAGAGGTCAACTTATGAAATTCCATACATTGAGATTGTTATCATGATATCTCAAGAACCACTGGAGATTTAAACTTCAAACTTAGTGATAGTGTGTATCACTATAGGAAAACAATCTGATTACATTTTGGAGCATGTAGGTCAAAGGTCAAGGGTCATAGAGGTCAACTTATGAAATTCCATACATTGAGATTGTTATCATGATATCTCAAGAACCACTGGAGATGTAAAAACTTCAAACTTAAGGATAGTATGTATCACCATAGGAAGACGATCTGATTAGATTTTGGAGCACGTAGGTCAAAGGTCAAGGGTCACAGAGGTCAACTTATGAAATTCCATACATTGAGATTGTTATCATAATATCTCAAGAACCACTGGAGATTTAAACTTCAAACTTAATGATAGTGTGTATCACCATAGGAAGACAATCTGATTAGATTTTGGAGCACGTAGGTCAAAGGTCAAGGGTCACAGAGGTCAACTTATGAAATTCCATACATTGAGATTGTTATCATGATATCTCAAGAACCACTGGAGATTTAAACTCCAAACTTGTTTAAATTGCTCTATGGCGGAGGCATCATTTTCGACTGCGCGCAGTCAAAATTCCATCTAGTTTTGGTTTAATTTTGCAGAGATAGGTTAGTCCTTTGTTTTTCTTCAATCATAAACAGGTCAGCGATTGAATTAATTGTAAAATCGATTGTTGATATACATCAGCTTGAAAAGATTGTGCTTTAGTGGCCTGTTGCAATTAATAATAATTAAGTTACATTTCCATACAGCACATTGGAAATTGCATAGAAAATTCACCTGTCTTACATGGGATGTTCTCAAAGTTCATACATGTACAACAGTGTTGTCGTTCCATGGGCCCTTGTCCTGCCTCTAAGAATGGTATTCTACTTAGCCTATGTCTTTCAAGTATTACATAATTATTATACATTCTAATGGAAAGAAAGTAAATTACAGGGAATTGTTAATGTTTTCACATCTCAGTTAGATTGCCCATTTTAACTATACATGCCATTCATGCATATTGTACATGGTGTCTGTTACCGTCATAAATCTTTTGTCTTGCATCATTGAGTCAACATGCCTGGACCCTGGGTATATAGGATGGTTAGTCAATAGACATGTGATTGTTCTCAAGCGGCCGGCCGGGGTCAGTCACTTCTAAACTTATCCTTCTCTCACATGACCTGTGGTGAATAGAATCCAGTGGGGACGTAGCATGACACAATCAGGAGGCAAGATGGCTCAGTGGTAGAGCAGTGGTCTCCTAACCGAGAGGTCCTGGGTTCGAAACCAAGTCAATGCAGCTTTAGTGCCCTTTGATAAGGCAATAATCCTCAGTAACAAATCTCACGGAGAGCGCTCAAAGCCATTGGTCCTCTGGATGCTTACTTACAAGCATACATATGCTCTCTTTGCATTAGGGTAAAAACAAAGAAACAATTTTAAAGCCTGCAGCAACAAGAATAACTCTAACAATCATTAACAGCGATTTGCTTATTTGACAGGTTTTGTTTGGTATGGGGAGGTATCTGCCACCATGGATACTTTAATATTTTAAGATCAGAGCTTTGATAATAAAGTCTAGAGCAAAACCAATTAACATTAAAAAGGTTTGTCTCTGAACATTGAAGATAGAAACTTACATGATATTATTAGTAATAGCCACTTCATTCTAGATAATGAAAAGAACACCCCCCCCCCCCCAACAAAAAAACATTCCCCACCCCGAAAAACCCAACAACAAAGCACAGTCCATGCTAAAGAAATCTGTTCTTGACAATTTGTAGTTACTGCAAGACATATAATCCCTATTTTATAATGTTTTAAAAGAGGAACAACCAAAAATATAACATCAGTAATGACACCTCAGTGCATAGCAAGGGTCTTCTGTTGTAGATGTTTGGTAGTTACCACCAGATACCATGTGTGAACTTTCAAAAATCTAGAACAGTAACAACTGTTCTATTTGTAACAAGGTTTTTCTGTCATATATGGTTGATAACCTGTTAAATGACAACAAAATCTAGAACAACAACCTTAGTTCACCACAAAGACCTTCTGTTGTAGGCAGTTGGTATCTACCATCAAGTTACCCTGTAGAGAAGCTAATGTGAATCAGGTCCTAGGATGGTTTCATTAGAGGGGACTATAACGTCCGCCTTAGACATGGAAACCCTGACACAAAGACCAAGCATAGCCCTACTTTCTTCACCTTGTTTTCTGGCGACCTCCCACATACCATTTCAAATAATACGGAAAAAACAAAAAAATGGGAAATTAGAGGAACAAAAACAACAGCTCATTGCATGACAAGGATTTTCTAGAGGATAGATGATATAGCTAACAGCCCCCACTCTGTGAATCAGGACTTTGGATCCTTTTATGAATGAAGGACTAACTAACTGAACATGCTCCTTTAGACAGGGGACCCTAGTGGATCATGTCCTTAGCATCAACCAAACATTGTACATCCTATCTTCCACCCACAATCTGGAAAACCACTCATACACTATCAACATTCTTCTAGAGCTGGGGGACCACCAGGGGCCCCCTCTCCTGGATTTAGAAACATTATTGTCACATCCTGGGAGGGGGTGTCTTGTTGCTGGGGGCAACACGGACATGACTTTGTCAGGCGAGGTTGATGTAAGCGCGCTTCTCATTTCCCTCTGGTTGCCGGCTTAGTGTGTGTCATTCTCCCCACATTGGAACAGCTCCATCGGATAGTCTTCGCTCACCAGCCACCAACCCTTATCTGATAGATCAGTCTCACTCTTGTCACTGGCATCATTGTCTTGCAGTTCAAAAAGATTTCAGACAAATTACATTCTTTTGTTTTATTTTGCAGGGGAAAGTGTTATATATATTTAATAGACAAGTGTTCTGAAAATTGCAAACTTTGTAATTTGATGTTTCTAGACATTAACATTTTTATGGGTTTTTCAACTTTGATCAAGTTTCATTGGAGCAGTATACAATTACATCATGACAACATTAATTCTTATTACATTATTTCATGTAAATATTTTGTTTTCATTTATTTTTCACAACCATAACAAAAGACATCAAAATACATATAATAAAGGCCTATGAGGCAAGTAAATGCAAGAATACAAATGAAAAAAATATAAACAAAAGTCACCAAAGATTATGATGGTAATGATATATAATGCTAAATAAAACAGAGATGGACAGTGTGTAATGAAATAGGAATATGATGATACATTAAAATCCAAATAAATTTGGAGAGTATGAAAACAAATAAGACAGTGTTTGTAGGTACGCAATTCCAGTTTAGTGTCTCATGTTGATCACATCATGACCAATGTTGATGTATAATGGTTTCAACCAAATGATTAATGAAATTCCTCCTGGGGGATTAAAGGCAGGAATCCATAATTTCTTACCTCATTGTCAATGTAGGGAATATATTAAAATGAAATGGCACATTTTCCAGGATTTTTGTTGGTGATCAAAATTGGATGTCTTGAAAACTTTCTTTCTGACCTCAGACCTGTAATAATGTTCTTGAATATTCTGTACCTATAGCTCGAGATGTGATGATAAATGATAGGTTCATTCTGGCTATGGAGCTTGCTTTTCGTAAATTCAATTTAAATGACAATGCATTTGATATACCATGTTTATTATGATTTTAAAAAAAAAAATTTCAGGGTGAACTGGGCGGCGGCAGCTCAAGTAAACAGAAGACAGAAGAGAACAAGGAATTAAAGGATATCAGAGAAAAGGCCAACGCAGCTTCACTCAAACTTGCCACCGCAGCCAAAGAGGCAGAAACAAACATCAAGTAAGTAGTCATCATACTCTTTCCTTCCTTTTCCTTCTCTTTCCTTTCTTCTCCTTCTCTTCTCTCTACACAGTCATTTTTTGAGAAAATGAGTAGATTAAAAGGCACAGATAGTATTTCTATGGAGTTAACAGGCTAAACAATTAGCTGACAACACCCCTGGACGATGATGCCTGGACAATCGTCCTAGGACTATCACCTTACCGCTTCTGGAATACAACCCTGAGGATAATTACTTTCAGACAACTGCCGCATAGGATGATAACCGCCTGGACAACTACCCCTTACCCATTACCTGCTAAGTTAATTAACCTTATAATTAACCCTCCATCTTTGATGAAATGAAGCCTGTGGCAGTTGTTACCGAAGCATAGTTCTGTTAAAATGTACAGTAAAACCTGTCTTTGTGGCCACCTCTTTGTAAAGGCCACCTGTTTATAGTGGCCATGTATTTTGTCTTCCTTGAGAAAGAAGTGTATGCTTTAGAACCTGTCTAGAAAGACCAGCTTCCTACAGCAGCCACTTCGTCTGTTTCCCTTTGGCAACCTTAACAGATGGGTTCGACAGTAGCTCACGTAATTTGAACCGAACACGAATCACTACATATCTGCATGATCATTGCCTTCATGTTCGACAGCTTTGTATAAGGTTTATGATTTCAAAAGCGGCCAGCCAACGCAGACACTGTCGTCTGCCCACAAGATGATTATCACTCTCATGACTAATCGACGAGGACTATCCCCTTCCGTATCCACCAAATGTCAACGGAAAACCACACTACACTCACGAATACACAGTAGTATAAATGCCCTTATCACGCATATCATAATATCTCCTTATCATCGATGGTTATATTTCTTGGAGTGTACTCTTTGCGCATTAATCTTTTGTTCTATTTCGAAGGAAAATGATGATGTTGATGAGACACTATGATAAAGGAATATTGCCCCCAAGCTAAGGAGACATATTGGTGGAAGTACAGTCATAAAGCAGTATTTCCTGTAGATCACTGTTAGAGTTATATGAACTCTTAGCTTTATAGCTGTACATGTAGATAATGTATCAGTCTGTCTTACTACATGTATGTATGAGGATCTGCTAGCCATAGACAGATGCTTAAACTGGACTAGATCTTTTATAGCCGAATGTATGATAAGATTAGTCATTCCAATAGGTAATAATAATAATATGTTATTGTATAGCGCATAACACATTATTATATAACGTCCCTATGTGCTTCCAAAGACCTTTGGAAAATTTTACCCTTGCCTAAGCTCTGGCAGCCTATATTAGCACACAGTGCATTTCAAGGAACTCATTTACCTCACCCAGGTGGAGTGTGGCAAATGAAGATCAGCTTCTTGCCAAAGGACGTTGGTGTTGTGACAGGGATTCGAACCCTGTACCTCGTGGTTCACAATGCAGTCGTAGGACTTTTCCACTGGGCCACAACGCCTCTTGTTGAAATATTTTGAAAAATCAAAAACTGAATGCAGGTAGATAGACTGAAGATGGTGTCCTTCAGATGTCACCTAGGGCAGACTGTTGCTTGTCAGATAGCTGAGGTTCAATTAACCATAACAGTTTTATATACCCTCTCCTAGTGCCATTTGGTGTATTTAAATTTCATGTTCTCTACACATTGCTACAGCAGGGCACCACACAATTTTTTTTTTCTCGCAGGGACCCAGAAATATATTCGGGGTTTGTGTGCACAGGGTCCTTGATAATTTTTTGATATTTGTGGGATCCGGAGGAGTATTTGTGAAGCCCATGTGTCTCAGCTGGAACCCTACTAATGCCAAACTATGGTTTAAGCTACTAAAACATGATTGCACAGGTAACATGCTTTCCAAAGAGTTTGTACAATCACTGCCTTTGTTCCACTGCAATTGTAACTCCATTCCAGCTAATTTCACATCGGTGGATGACAAAGGTTGATGCAATTATGTACAGTCACTCTCCTCATCTCTCCTATTAAGGATGTTGAATGATTTGCTAAGGCTATACTGATCCAAGGTTCCTGAATCCTACTATAAATAGACCCTCATCACTGCGTTTATCCACTGACATAATGCTCTTTCTCCTTTATCTCTTCCGGGGGATTTATCCTGGAATTGTTCGCTAAATCCTGCCGTGTAATTTTGGACGGTGAACTCAGCAAAGTGAATATTTACGTTTCAAACGGAATTGTTCTGTACAACTATTTTTGCGATGTGATCAATCTTGGTGACATTCTATTTTTGGGAGAACATCTGTGTAGAATGCTCATTGCTAAACCTGATAAAAGTCTTTAATTATGTTTGGGGTTGTTTTGAAGAAGGAAACAGTAAAGGGATATTTAGATTTAGTGGTGGTTATTTTACCTGGCTGCTAAGAAAGCATAAATGCTTGTTAGTAATCAACAAGAGGACCAACGGCTTTAGGTCCTCTCCGAGGGACCAATATTGTTGCAGGTCATATATTTATATTGTTTTGATAAAAGATGAGGTTGAATTTTAATGACATAATTGCTTGGTAAAATGTATGTCAAGAAAAGAAAGAGGACATTACACAAAAAAGGTAGCTCATAAATAATGAAGTGCATAAAAAGTGTACATTACAATGGTAACCAAATATCATACGAAAATGCAATAATTAGCTCAACATACATTCATGCTTAACTCCACTTTCAATTTATGGTCAGTTGAGAATTCCATGTATGCTTTATACTTCCATAAAAACTACAATTCATTTCTCCCAAAGAATTTATCTGTCCAATCCCAAACGGCTATATCCTCCAAACTTTACGCAAAAAAAATGGACCCTGTTCTAAAGATAGATCTCTGTATCCAAGCTGTGTAAGATTGGATGTAACCTGATACCATTGGCTAGAGGGTGTTATGAAGATAAATCCAGGGTGACCCTAATTATAATCCTAAGGATGCTACTGAAATATCATAAAGAAGATAAAGAAAAGCTGATAATACCCAGAAATCGGGCAACGCAGCTGCGTGTGGTCAGAAATAGACTTTGCTCCTTCCGTAGTAGAGAAGGAAAGCAGATAACATAAATATAAAGAGAACTTGATACTGTTTACAGATAAGAATTGTTATACTCAATTTCTAATCTTATAGAAACTGTATTTCCTTTTTTTCTCTCTTTTATTACTGTATCATGCCTAACAGGAAAATTTGGGGGAAAAGTCAAAATTGTGTGAATTCTGTAATCTATCTTTGCATAATTCAATTGATTGGAACTATTTTGAATGTGTTTCCTTTTTTCCAAGATGTCAAATTTTCTGATACTACTCAAAGATTTCTATCTTTCACTCTTGAACTGTGCTAAATATTGTTTTTTTAAAGACCGTCACCACTACTGGGCAAGAAGGGATTAGACCACATAGCGAGCCATCGAGGTCACTGCGACAGGTGGCTATCTCATTAACTCAGCTCTCATTTAACATAAGAAAAAGAGGATCATGGGGGACCAACAGGCACCGATTGGGGAAGTTTTCTATATAGAGGGAGCAAGTGGCTACAAGTATGGCAGTGTGCCTTTAAATCATTTATAACTAGAAAGATGAATAGTTCTTAACTTTATTGTCTTACTTTATATTTCATCTGCTGAGAACCAAAAGAATTTAACTTCTGTGTTAATACCAACTTTCTTGCTGTAAGCAGAACTATAATTATCAACAAATATATTACTATGAATGTTTTGAAAGGCATATGAGAAAAAAAGAAGGATACGCGAAATCTGGGATTAGTACCTTCTTCCTTGTAATACAAGTTCTTAAATTATATTTATGTTCCTACGTATAAATTATATTGTTTGAACAGACGTCAATTATGTTGTCAAATTGAATAGAAGAAAATAAATGTTAATTTGTATGAATAACATTAATAGCCTGTAACATCTATTTTTAGACAATTTCATAGCAGTCAGAATTGAATGAACAGTATTAAAAAGTCTGCTAAGAGACTTGCTCACATAGGAGTAATGCCAACCCAATTATAGTTTTTATCTACACATACCCATTGACTGCTTGCATAATGTGCTAATCCATTGAGGAAATGATAAATTTGTTCCTCGAGATATGGAACGTCTGAAACCATTTAGGCTGAAATTGATCTCGGGTAGAAACTGCAGAAGGGCCGGGAAACGGTTCTGTAGTCCCATATATGGAGTTTGTGTGCTGCTTTGAGATGTATTTATGTGATTTCTTGGGTAGATCTCAGGTTTGATATCCAATACCCACTCCTAAATCCCTCCTCTCCAGCAAACTTGGCTGCACCATGCAGTGTCCTAATAAGTTTATTCTAGACAGTATTCTGTAAGAAGAAGGAACAAACTAGAAAAGAAATGAGGATAGGAAGGCATAAGTACAGTGGGTAGTTCGTGACTCTGAAAATCTTTGATTTGGCTCTCACATCCTGTTGTCCTGTAACCTTGAAGTGATATTGACCAGCAGAACTATAGATTAGATATTTATAGGATACTAACGAGGTATTGTCTGAAATGTCATATAGTAAGGATTGAGAGACAGCAGAAGTGATGCACCTGATTGCATTGAAGATCAAGAAAACAAGACAAATTTAATTTCTTGCATCTTATCCTTACTCTCTTCCTGTTTTTTCCACTCACTTATTTTTTTTTCTTCTTAGGGTGGGGGAGCAGGGGTGGAGTTTATTTCATGTTTTTCTTTTGACATGAAAAAATGAAGAATCAAAGAAAATGCTAAAAATGTCCTAACAAAGACACTTTGTTGTAATGCAATATTACCTTGTTTTGAGCGACTGTTAACCGCATAAAATTAAATTTTTGACATTGCCTTAATGGGTTTTATATGTACGGGGAGGATTTCAAAATCTCAAAGTAAATCAAAAATACCTCCATATTTTCAGTAAATTGATGTGGATTATAAATAAATTGATAGGCAAATCTATGTCTATACAGGCTGACTTACTATCTAGGTTAGATAGCCGCCCCCTCAAAGCTGAATTACACCTGTAGAAGAATTATGCCATCTGGATTATTCTGGCTTATCCACAATATCCAGGATCAACATCAACATCAACTAAGCCATAAAATTATAATTCAAATAGGGCTGTAATCATAGAATCTGTTTCCAAAGGTATTAACATCTGGAATCGCAAAACTGTAATAAATGCATAAGCCTACTTTTTCTGTAACTGTTTGTTTTTTGTACAGGAAGTTCCATAGGATATTAGCCTAATTTTGACAGATTCCCTGCATCATTTGTAAATGGATGTGTTTTAACCATGTCAGGGCCCTGTTTCGTAAAACTTGTTATCAATAACAAGTGCCGAAACTCTGTGACAAATTTGCTCTCAGCCAGTCCAATGCAATCATTTCAGGAGCTTATTAATAGTCATTGAAACTTGTTATTGGTTGGATGACCTACCAGGTACCTGTTTAGAGCACTTTGGTTGAGAGAAATAACTATAGTCAGAATGCCTTGAATGAGGACATATGCATGATCAAGGAATTGAACAATTAGCCTCTTAATTAATGATAATAATAATAAATAATTAGGAGCCCTAAAATAGCACAAAATTACAGAGTGTGAAGAGAAACATGAAATACATAGACTCATAATAACATTATGTTACTGAGGGAACAATTATAATTTAATGGATCTTAATTGGACATTAAAACCAACTACTTAGATGTGTAGACAGAGATACCAGTCTGATGCCTACAAATTCCTAAAATCAATTAATGTCATCTCCTTTAAGCAACTCTACCCATTAACTTCATTATAGTCAGGAAACAAGGTCGTAGCGTTGGCTGGAATGGAGACTATCGAGTTATAAGACACTTCCTTTTGCTTCACCCCTACATGTAACACTTGCTGGCAAACGTCAACGCTATTCTTGATGGCCTGCCAAAAGTTTGAGTAAATTTAGAATTGATTCCTTGGTTTTGGATGCTGCAATTTTAAAGCTTTGTAGATTTACGTCCTTTGCAAAGCTCTGACGTCGTTGCAGATTATAAGTTTACAATTTAATGTACCAGTATTTAGTTCTGTATTTTTCTGTTTTGAAATCAAGTGTTGATTAAGCAAGATGTCTAAATATTAATTCCTTCCTCAGTCCAATTCTGACTTTCTGGTATTATAAAGAGGGGTACTATACACTCTTTATTTACCAGTGAAAGATGACAATCATTCTGATAGTACTTGCAAATCTTAACTGAGTACTTTTTATAAACCAATCACCTGCTACAAGCTTCTTTCTCTGTTTTTAATGAAATTAATTAATCTTGATCATCACTTTTACAACTTTATAATAGCCATTTTAAATATCTATATTGGTAATGCAATATACCAATTTGTAATTGCCGATGAATTCCAAACTGTTGATTTCAAACACTCTCTGCTATATTCTGTGAACTCCATTTTGTATTGCAGTACCTAATTTACACCTGCACACATCTATTCATATTAACATTTCTCCCCCACATTCTCTCTTTCTCTCTCTCTCCCTCTCTCCCTCTCTCTCTCTCCCTCTCTCTCTCTCTCTCTCTCTCTTTCTCTCTGTTTCACTCTCTCCCCCTGCAGACAACTCATGTCCGGTGTAGACGTCCTCAAAATTTTGGCCGAGACGCTAGGCTGCATCGACAGAATATCTGAAGACAAGTCAGACAAGCCAAAGTCGTTTGGGACAGCTCTTTGATGACTCCTCAAGCTGTAAAAAGAAAATCTATCGAAGGAGTATCGTTCACACCACACTTGGTCTTTCATTAAATGTTCTAGTGTGAACAGAACACATGATTTAAACGTTCATTCCAGTGCCACCCTTTTCTTCATAGTTCAGTGTGCAGAAGAATGCGTTCATATTGGATAGCAGGGAACAAGAACGATGATGACATTATGTGGAGAGGCAGTCTCTTGAACGACTTCATAGCTGTGAAAAATAATCTTTTTGAAGATGAAGAAATCTGTCACATTAATCCTGGGCCCATCTTATAAAGAGTTGCGATTCTTTCAAATCGATCGGGCTTCTTTTATAATACAGGGCCCAGGTCTTTTATAACTGCTGTCTCTTGTGGAAGTATTTCTTGAAGGTACAGCAAAGTACCTGGATGTCCCATTTGGCACAGTTTACATATGAACAGATAATTTGTCCTATTTGATAAATTTGCATTTTTGGGAAGCATTTGTTTAGAGCAAGAAGGGCCATTAGTTAATGTACTTGTGGCACTGACACTGGAACTGGCTGTAATTGTGTGGCACATTTTCCTTGAGGGAAAATATTGTGATATAAGCCCTCTTCTAATTCTCAAATACATGTAGACTGCAGAAGATTATTAACTTTAAACTTTGGTCAAGATCTGGAATTAGATGAAGTGGCTACAATTTTGTTTAAGTTAAAGAACGATATCAACAGTTATACTTGAAGCTTTCACATGTTTCCTTTGAACTCGGTAATTTAAACAAAATTGCAATCCTATGTAACGCTATGTAATTATAGTTGTAGTTTAACTTTTGACAATATCCCATTTGAAATCTTAAAAAAAAAAAAAGGGTCTTTTAATTACTTGAATTTATTAATAGATAATTGGAAGTAACAGATGTGATGATTTATCAAACAATATAAAACCACGGTGTTTGTATTCTGTATGACTAAGCTTTTTCAATTCAGTGCTATAAGAGTACAAACTCATCTAGTATGAAAAAAGGGATGTGACTCAGTAACGATTAAATTCTTTTGTCTTTTAACCTTACGGCGCCAATCTACAACATGGTAGGGAATATATACATCAGTTTCTTGTATTCTCTCTGCAGTATCTGTGATATGTATTCTATGATTTGAAAATATATTCAGCTTCATTCTCTGCGTTGACACGTTGACAAGTTGAGCAGAACTATTAGCGCTATAGGCATGTCTTTGCAGACATGGTTTTTCTATTGTTTTGGAAAGAGAAAGTTTACATGAATACTCCATGAAAATATCTGCTTCCTAGGTAATTTTTATAGTTCTAATTTCAAGATAAAAAGTTAATACACTTTGAGATTTTTTAATTCTTCATACTAAAAAACTGAAATTTTTAGTCAATTCATAACATTTGAACAGATTTTTTTTTAAATGAGCTCTGACTTAAGCAATATATTATTTGCATCTCAAAGACGAAATTAAAGACTAAAATTATTTGTAGATGCATTATATTGAACCAAAGTTCAGTGTAAATTTACCCAGGTACACGTTTACAAAAATAAAACTGGTATCAGTATTTTAAAACTACTAGAAAAATCATGAGAGATATTTTCATGGAGTACAAATGCCAATCTTTATTTGGCAAAGTTCTGTCTTGGTGGAAGTTGAAAGTTTACAGAAAGAAATCCCTTTTTGAAGGTGATAGTGTACATTGAATTGAAAGACTATGTCATAGTGCAAAAACTTGCACTGAAATATTAGACTTCATGAATAAACAATGGTCAAAAATTGGAAGATAATTTTAAAGTTTATTTTATGGTTTTAATTAGAAGTTTAATATCTTTTCTTTTTTAAATAATGCTCAGGCCTTCAGAAAATTTAATTTCACTATAGCTTATTACACATAAGATTTAGGTATTGCATAATTTGTTTTCAAAATGGTAATTATTTATTTTTTAATTATCTATTTCTGCATTCTTTGCAAGCTTTGCACTCCATGTTAAGTTAATTAAGATTTGTATTTAAAAATCACAAGGGGTACTTTTTGGGTACTATTCCTCAGAAAGTAAGAAAGGATTTACTTATATACGGAAAATAAAAAAACACTTTGAAGAGATATTAGCTGTGTTATCATTGCATTGAATTTTACTTAGATGTGTTGTAACCGAGCATGTACATGTATGCCTTCATTTTTGTACATAGTATTTTTCCAGCTAAGAATACAAAAAAAATGTGCTATATTTAATTATACTATCTCTTGTCGAATCATGGAAGTATTTACAATTACTTTTGAAAACAAAATGTGATCTTGTGTGATATGTTTCATTCCTAAACCATATAAGTCATGTATAATAGTGTATATAAAACATATGAAAGCATATTATTGTTATTGCTTGTCAAGTATGGAGTGCTAAAGCATTACTTCTGTGTTTGTGTATGATATTAGATTTTATAAAGGCATTTTGACAGTATATGTGATATGTGGTAATGTGTAATCGTATAATGATGATAGCTTTTGATTACTCAATTTGTATGTTATGTCATATTTGTATGTTACATCAAAGAATTTTTACTAATGTCAATTTTGACATTGCAACTCGATACTTGTGTGTATAAGTCTTCCATCGAGTATCTTATGATATATATAAAACTATTTTTGAATGGTAGATAAACAGAAGGCAATATGACCAGGGTAAACATCAGGAGTTTATATTTTTATTCAATTTTTTAGGAATGCAAATGTTGATATTGAGGTATCTTAAAATCACTTTAGAATTATCTAAAAAATATGACTAAAATTGTGCATCTGTTTCATAGAAAAAACTTATGAGAAGAAAAAAATAATCATATAATTCTGGGTAAACAAAAAATTTGGCACAATTCAGGGGAAAAAAAACAATACTGCCACAAATCATAATAACAATGGAAAATGCGATAAAATGAATGAGATAAAAGCCTTGTAGTCATATTGAATTTAGTGAATAAGTTTCCTCCCTACAATGTATTGTTATATCTGTAACACATAATTTTCTTTTTGATTGAAACTGTTTAAAAGGGTCAGGTTTGGGTTATTATCCATTGCAGTTACAAAAGGAATATACTTTTCCCAGATGAATAATTAACATTTTTGCCAGATGAATTTGTATTATCGTTCTCAATAGAACATGTCTTCATTTAATATTTTAAATTATTTTTGTTTCAACAAAGTGCAATATTTTGAAATGTTCAACATTTCCATCAAACTTGTTCATGTAGTAGCCTTAACTCTCAATGTATCAGGAAAATGCCAGAATAAACCACAATGACAAGAAACCTGCAATTCCGTTATCACAATGGGTATAGTGTTTAAACCTATAGGTAAAACTCCATTATCATAATGGTTATATATTGGTCAATTGCAAACCATTACGGCATCATGTAGAGGTGCTCTGGTGACATTCAAGATGAGCATGAGACAAGAGACCTGCAATTATATTATCACAATGGGTATAGTTTTTCAACCTATAGGTAAAACTCCATTAGCATAATGGTTATATTGATAAAATGCAAAGTGGTCAATGGGCAATTGTCAAGGCATCATGTAGGGGTGCTATGGTGACATTCAAGATGTGCATGAGACATATGTATGGACTCTATTAGATTAAGATTATGTTCAATGTTGAGAGCTAGAAATGCATTAACTCATATCATTATACATAGAATGGACGTCCTTATGCCTCTCAACATGTTATTAATTATTAATATATTATTCTCCAGAGCAGCCGTTCATTGCATGTGAAATTCAACCCTGCAGCGCAATAACCAGAATGTCATTACCATAAGACCAGTGTACAAATGTATTCAAATTGTTATGCAATTGTCTTTAGAGACCATAAGCTTGCCCAAGGCTTACCCAACATGACAACATATATGCACGGTCACATGGATTCCTTTGGTTAAGATGCCACTATATGAAAAGGTGAACCATATGTAAATATTTTGTTACAAGGAGTTTCTGGGTAGAAATGCAAATGGATTTAAATCTAAACTGGTCTATATATGCACTCAAAGATATTTGCTCAAGGTGGTGTTCTGCCCAACATCCAAGCCGTGCTGCTTCCCAAATGCAAAGATTTAGAAGACACACAGGTATGAAATGCAGACTACAATGTTTCATTTGCTCATGTATTTATGAAAACTAACTACATATCATATTTTTGAGCTATTGTGTTGAAAAAGAATCTGAATAAAATCTAAAATTTCGAAAGAATAATTCTCCATGCATTGTTGTGTACTTGCAGATTAGGTGATATTCATCATCTTCTTTGGGAGTCAGACGAAGATCTGATTGTGCCATACTGCCTCCTCCACAACTTCCATTCTAAATCAGTCTTGATCTTTAATTAGTGTACCATAGGTTTTAATCAGCTATATAAACAGTTAACAACTATTATTCAAACCCCTTGTAAATTTGATCATGTTTTTTGTGTCTTTCTATAACTCAAACATTAGAGGTGAACTGGTTAAATTTGGGCATTTGTTGAATACTTTCTAGATGCAAGCTTTAGTATGTCACATCCAAAAGGGTACTGAGGGTATGAATAATTTAGTTGTTAACTGTATTTCACACATTTTCTTTCAAACTTTTATTTCCAATACAAAACAGTCTCAAAAAGATGAAGTTTATCTATAAAAAAATGATTTCAATTTTAAAGTCATGAAAAATAATACCATATTACAGAATATCCACATTGTTGTGAAGTTTCCACTAACTATTGAGACATTTTTCAATAAGACCTTCAACCTGAAACAAAACACTAGACTTAAAATAGTTAATTCCGTTATTGCATATTTTAATTACTTTTACTTTCAATGAACTTCCACTTCAAATTAATTTAGCTTTTGAAATATTTCACATAATTCATTGCATTTACCAATCGGCCTAAAATATTTGACTTTCAAATCTGAAATGTACAAGACTATTATTTGACATACAAAACTAAAGGATAATTTAAAGAATAAAAAAAATCAAAACAAGGAGGGAAACGTGACGTGAATATATTGTACATTTAGCAGTTTGAACTTCTGTTTGAACTTATGATATTACATAGTTTGACTTCAATTAAATTACAACTTCAAATATAGGCAGTAAGTACCTGAATTGGGAATCACATAGGGGAAAAATGGATGTCACAATACAAATAAAAGCAATGTCTTAAATTTGAATTTAAAGGACTACTCGTGATAATTGTATCATGGAAATAAGGTTAGTGGTGTAGTAACTTCAAAATACACACAACAAAAGAATGAAAATTATTTAGCATGAATGCTAGTGATTTACTATTTCTTAAGAACACAGATAAGGTTCCCCACCCTAAAAATACAAAGCCAACACAGTTCAAAGGTTAACATTAAAAATATAAATTCAATTTCATATCTCCAATGTTAAACAGAGGAAAAGGGTTACTCTCCAGCTTGCATAATCCACCTTGTTTGCATACGGCCATCATATGCCATGCACCACTAAGCAGAGCGCTCTTGGAGGTGACGAACAAATTTATACAAAACACACATTTTCCGAGTTTTGGGTTTGAACGAATTTATTTCAGAAATACAATTATACACTTGTCACACAATGAAAGAGCCCATCTCTTATCTTTTTCCACTCTCCAAATTCTTTTGACTGAAGGAATAGGCAATTTTCGTAATTTAACCAAATTTATGCATATGCCTTAATTATTACAGAGCCTAGCTGATACGAATTATTTCATTCATCTGGTACGAATAAGTCAGAATTATAATCGGATACATTAGTTGTTGCTAGGTAGGACAAACATTATGGCTTGCCCTATCTAAGAACACTTAATATTGATATGCAATTTGCCTTCTGACTATTGAAATACAATTGTTTGTAACAGGTGTATCAAATAATTTGTAACATGGCACTTACCAAAGATTTATGCATTGAATTTGATTACATTACGAAAACGGTCTATTGAGTCTCAATCGTGTAACAAACCCATTGTCTATCTGCAAGCTCAGCCTGGTCGGGTATAAAGCAAGCATCATTTCATGGTCCTTTCTACACTTTTTAATGAATGATTATTGCTGAGATGAATGGCATTCTTGATATCGTGCTAACATGAATGGGTACATTTTCATGTAATAGGGTCGGTTTGGTGCTTCAACATTTATGAACATACAGTCAAGTTGGTTGAATGTGCTTGCGATTGCCAATGTCTGTAACCAATTTAACCAACTACTGTTAAGAGCAAATGGCATTAAGCGTTCTGAAAGAATCATATTATGAAAAACAAAGCAAGTATTCCATTTGTTGTTCCCATGTAGAGATCCTCCACCCCCCAAAAACTATCTGGGAGAATGTGTCCAAATACCCATTGCATGGACTGAGGACAATAGGCAATTTTCGTAATGCAACCAAGTTTACGCATATGCCTTTGAGAAGCGCCTCGTTACATTTGTTTTCATTCACCTGTTACGAATAATTGTATTTCAATAGTCAGAATTCAAATCGCATACATTAGTTGTTGCTAGGTAGGACAAACATTGTGGAATGTCTCACCTAACAACACGTAATATATGCAATTTGCATTCTGACTAATGAGATATATTCGTAACAGGTGAATGAATCATTCGTTTCGAGGTGCATATGCATAAACTTGGTCACAAGTCATTTCGAAAATGGCCAACTCTGGTATAGGGGGAGAGGGAGAATTTCAAGAAAATTTTGATGCAGCGTAACAATCCTGCTGCGGTACGTGAGAAGTGCATTTTAGAATATGGAACGTCGTTGTCAGCTTTGTATCGGGAGGGAGATGGACACGTCGAAGGTGTTGCTGCTTAGTAGGGTAAGGACATATTTCACGAATCCATTAACTTTTGGAAAGCTGATGGACAACATTGAATTCTGTTTGGAATACCCTAACTTTTTATTGTTCAAAAACCTGAAGAAAATGGGTTTGCATCTGTCACATTCTAGAGCATCTTAAATCAGTGATGATTATGCAAAAGGGCGTCACATGAAAGCTAGAAAGTTACTCATAACCTTAACATGTGAAAATGTATTTTTGTTAAACAGTTGACTTACAAAATTCAGGCACCCTGTACGGGTACAGAAATAAAAGATCGGTTTGAATTTTTGAAAGTATGTGTATGAGCAAACCTTGTATTAATTTGTATGCATTATTGAACAGTGATTATAATGAGTACCCAATAAACAAGTTAATGACAAAAACACTAGCAAGTTGACAACACCAATAGAGAGGGAACAACTTCTTTGTCATCAAAGTCTTACAGGTATGATACCATTCCTAGAATAATCTGCTTGTTTCTCCCTCGACAAAACAAAAATTCTCAATTATTTTTACATATTTCTTTAATCTTTGCAGATCCCTTGTCCACCATTATTTCTTTCTCTCTTCCGTCCTTGCCTAATTCATTTCTTTCCTTCCTCCTCCCCTTATTCATTTCTTTCTTTCTATCTTTCGGTTCTGTCTTTCATTATTTGTTTTCCTTTCTTCATAATTTGTTTCTTTCTTTCTAAATTCTTCCTTTCTTTCCTTTTGTCTATCTTTGCTTTGTCATGTCGAACTTTTTGTTTTTTGTTGCCATCTGGCTTTTGGCCAGGAGAGTACTTTGAGTCAGCAAGCCTTCGATCCGGTCACATGACTAATGTGGAAAGAGAGAAAGAAGTCCCACACAACCATGAATATCACACAGTTCATGTCTGTGGTGAAACAATGTGCAGGATTGTAAAGGGATGGGGTTATGATGGGGGTACAGGGAAGATAAAGGAGGGGAAAGATAATCATAGTGATGAAAAAAGGAGGGGGAAAGGATATAAGCTGGGGGTGGTGGATATGGGGAGGAACCGTATGCATGAGCAATGTAAATGCGACACACTAAAATTTCTCTTCTTTTCATCGGCTATTCTATCGGCTTTTTCTTCTCTGTAGCATTCATACTGGCAGTTTCATCGGATGCGTCCGGATGCATCCGATTAAAAGCAGGCCAGTTTGAAAGGAGTATTACAAGTGTAATAAAGCATAGATGCATCATGGGTCCATTCTGAAAAGCAGTGTTTGCTGGCCTCAACTTAAAGGAAATCATTACTCCTCCAACTCCTTCAAAGAACGTTGTTTTCAATCAGATTAGAATATTAAAGTTTAAATATCAGCCGTTGCATATCCATGATTCCTTGACCAGCTAGAGGAGGGCATAAGTATAAGTGCATAACAATTTGTGTTTAAATAAACAGAAACCTACTGATACCAGTAATATTGTAGACCTTCTTGCCTGAATATTCTTAAGTGCAAGAGCCACTGGTAATACGTTTCTGACAGAGTTTAGAATAGAACAAAAAAATGCCTGTTTGCAATTAACAAAATATATATATCATCTATTTTTGATAGTTTGTTTTTGTTCTGTGTGGTGTTTGCTTGCAGGTAGCCCTTCCAGATCAAATGTTCTTTTAAACCTGGGTATTCATGAGGTCATGAAACCTTCTCAGCTGGCTTTGGAAGGAAAGGAATATCCTCTGAGTCGACTTGACCACAAACAACAGGGGTATACCACCTATTACGCACTTCCCTAAGAAACAAGACCTATGAAAAGTCATTAGTTCTAGGCCTATGTTAACCCTCTCCCCCTCTTCAATCTCATTCATACACTGAAACATTTTCACAGGACTTTTACTTTCTGCAATTGGCATATGCTCCATCCCCTTATGAAAACCAATTTGGCATACTCAAAGTCCACAAACATGCCACCCTATACCCCGTTCAAATTGTATAAGCAAAGACGCACCTGAAAATTTAACTGCCTTTATTAATTTGTATTTTATTTGCACCTAAAAGTGTGAGACCCCAAGGAATGATCATAGAAGAAGATTCATTATTCATTTGTGTGTTGTTGTTTTTTGTTGGGAGAGGGGCGGGGTGCTGTTTGGAGCTTAGGCTTCTTGCAATCATACTCTACATGTGCCTCACATAATTTTTGTGTTGGGGTGGCTTGAAGAATTGGGAGGGGAACCTCCCCCTCCCCCCTCCCCGACTGGAACCGCTACTAGAGAACCTCCATTGTTCTTTTGCTTGTCTAGAAATGTCTAACAAGCACAAATTAATATATCCAAAATGCCCTTTTCATACCAACTATCTGTCATGTTGTTTCAATTATAAATGTTCCCGTCATCATTCCAAAAGAAAGATGCCACCTAAAGAATAACAAAAGTCCTCCGCATTTACTGATTGT